AATAACAAGTAAAGAAATTCAAACAAGACAATAACGACCTAACAAATTCGCAGCCTGGACGAAGGACTGGTACTCCACGAGTGCCTTCGTGTCAATCGGTCGGGCCTCGAAGGTCGGGTAACCTTCCTCGTCCAGAATATCCTCCCCCTCCCTCGTGGCCCATCTGGCGGGGAAGAAACTGTCGACATACCGACATAGAGTACCATAAGCCTTCTCGTCTTCGGAGCTCTTCTCGTCCGCGGACGTATGGTAGTACCCGGTCCCATGCTCGTAATGCCTCGAGGTCCAATACAAGGGAAATTTGGCCATGCGCCCCAACACCGGATGTCCCTCGTCGTCCAAAAGAGCTTCCCTGTGGTCGTCGGTTATGACTGTTTCCTCCTCATACAGACTCTAAACCTGCTGTGGTAACCGGCCTCACAATATACCACTTGTCCTTGAAACCCCGCACGGAATCCATGTACATCCTGAAAAGTCTCTTCAACTGTTTCAGGGAAACCCAACTATGCTTACCTCCCCGGGATTGGCGCTGGAGGTGGAAGACTCTGAAGAAGAGGGGTATGGTCGCCCCAATCCTTAGAAACCGACAAGTGAGCTCGAACGCCCGGATGAAAGCGAGCGAATTTGGGTGAAGCTGCGACGAGGCCAGCCCCAGATGGCTGAAGACCCCGACCTGAAAATCGCTGAAGGGCAGCTGCAGCCCGAGGTCCTTGAAGGCAATTTCATACATAGGGAATCCATACTCGGGGAACTCCGAGCAGATTCGTGCGGTGAAAGTTGGTCGAGTGACGACGAAATTCTTCTGAAAATCGGGCTGGCTACTGCTCGCCTCGAGGGTGGTATATGCCATTCGACTACGTCGACTATAGGCCGAAGTTATCCCTCTGGGCTCGGCACCCACCCATTCCAGCAGAGGATCCTCTATGGTGTCAACCAAATTCACATTTTCATCAGCACTTTGTTCTTCCACCTCGGCGCGCCCTGAAGAACACGGTTCGTCCGCCATGGTTACCTACAAAGCACGGGAAACCAATCAATTGGGAGCGAAACCACACACTCTCCATAACGGACGAGATGAAGGGCACGACAAACCACGTCGCTCCATGCGCGACCACAAAGTTGGTGTTTCGGAACAAAAAAGAGCAGTCACCTCCCCGACTCCCAGTCACCACGACAAGCTACAGATCGCCTGAATAGGCCAACATCTCGACCACTCACGAATGTGTCGACCCAGGCTACGAACATGGCGAGCGACGTCATGGGTCTCAAAACTAGAGCCATGAGTTTACCGGGCACCGCCAAGAATTAGGCGCCCTGAGTCATGAAGTCCCCGGGCAGCACTGCGAGTCAAATACCTAAACTATGCGTTTACCGGGCGCATACATGCGTTCACCGGGCATAAACATGGATTTGTCGAGCTAAGCATAAATCTACCGGGCTAATCCCAGGCTTACAGTCTCTAAAACATCTGAAAACAATGAAAATCATGCATCACGGAGGAAAAACGAAGGAGACAACACACTTACTTGGAATCGGGAAGGTAATGTGACGACGGAGAAAGGAAATCAACGACGGAGATCACGGCGGTCCTATGAGTATCTCGGAAGAACAGCAACAGTAGGAACAGAGTACAGAGGAGAAGCGTGAACAGGGAAAACACGTTCTGGGGCCCAAACAACCTATTTATAGTGATGACGTGGAATACCAAACGTCACCTCGGGGAACCACATAACTTCCCTCCTCGACATGTAGCTCCTCTAGGCAATGATGACCCTATCGTCAGTAGGGTGGCGGAACGATTCCCAAGAGATACCTCATGTGCCCGACGAACGCAGCCCGTCGAGACCCCCGAGTGCTCCTCGCGCGACATCATCTCGTTAGCCCGACACGGGAAAAACTCCTCGAGCAAGTCACAAGAACGACATATTCTAGCCGGGAACGGGACCCCGCGACGCAGGCGACCTAAGATCAAGTCATGACTCCTACTACAGGAACCACGACTTGGGGGGCTCCTGTTCTGGACTGGGCCGGGCTGGCCCAAAAGCAATGTTGAAGGCCCAATCCAAACGGTCTTACAAAGGGTCACGCCGACCAAAAGGCCATACCCTTGCCCGACACTTTCTGCTAGTACGACGTCCTCGACTCCATGTTATCCTACTCGACCTCAGCTCGAGCACCCCTCCTAGGGCAGACTCTATCAACTACGCCATCACCTGGATCCCGAAAAGACCGCGTCCTCGTCCGTCCGGAATTCACGCAGAACATCCAGGAAGGGGACCACGTGCGGGTCCCCACTACGCACGTAGAACCTGGAAGTTCCTCCATTGGGCCAAACCTACCCGGCCCAATGAAGGAACCTTGGCCCAGCGCTGGGGGCTATAAATACCCTTTGTTCCCAGAGGGTCAGGTATTCATTCTTTTACCCATACTCATACTCTTGCCTGCTCGTGCTCTTACTTACTTCAGCATCGGAGTGCCTTGCAGGTACCCCCTCCCCCCCTTCACCTTGTTCAAAACTTCAGCTCGGAGCCAGCCGTGACGGTCCAAGTCTGATCAGGTTAGATCAATAGGTAATTTAAATGATCAATGTATTATTTTGGATGTTGAAATTGACTGAATTTTGGCCATTGTTGTCAAACTGAGTTGCATACCTTATGAAGATGCATCTCCATAATTTTGCAACGTTTTATTTTCTAGAATATGGAGATGCATCTTTGAAATTTATCAGACTCCATTATTTTTCTTGACCTCATTGTGTTTCATCTGTGTAATGTATGTGTGGTTCAATTATGGAATTATGATTGATAAAAAGATAGATTGAGACACGATAGAGTTGCACAACATGCATCAGTTTGGATGGAAAATCCCAAGCCTTGCAGGCACCTATTGTTTCTAGCATGACTGATGCAAATGCACCAACTTTTAGGGCCCATGCATCTCCACCTTCGTCTTCTCGTAGGTGATGATGAACAGGTTGCGCATCATAGAGCATACACATTGAGAACAAACATGTTGTACTTGATTAGCACATCCATTTTTGTGGACAAGAATGCCATTTATGTGGATGTGATCTACCTGAAATACTTCACTAATTTGGAGCGGATCCATGAGTACAATTGGGGGGTCACTTGTTTGGTCTACTTATACTCTAAGTCTGCATTCATATCGTTTAAAGAGAATCAAACGATGAAGCCATATCGAGGGTATCTTGACTGCTTGGTAGAAGAGGAAATACACTTTCATATGTAAGTCGATCATCGTGAGATGTGTTCCTTGGACGACATTGCTTTATATTCTGGATATTTGGCTTGCGCTTCATGTATGATGTATCCTCATCTTCCTGAGCGCTTCATGCAAAAATTCGGCCACACGCAGTTTGTTCCTAGAGACTGTTCCGGGTTTGCTCCTCCCGCAACCTGGGACATGTGATGATGAACAGGTTGCGCATCATAGAGCATACGCATTGAGAGTAAACATGTTGTACTTGATTAACACATCCATTTTTATGGACAAGAATGCCTTTTATGTGGATGTGATCTACGTGAAATACTTCACTGATTTGGAGCGATCCATGAGTACAATTGGGAGGCCACTTGTACTCTAAGTCTGCATTCATATCGCTTAAAGATAATCAGGCAATGGAGCCATATCGAGGGTATCTTGACTGCTTGGTAGAAGAGGAAATACACTTTCATATGTAAGTCGATCATCGTGAGACGTGTCCCTTGGACGATATTGCCTTATATTCTGGATATTTGGCTTGCGCTTCATGTATGATGTATCCTCATATTCCTGAGCACTTCATGCGAAAATTCAGCCACATGCAGTTTGTTCCTAGAGACTGTTCTGAGTCTGCTCCTCCCGCTATGACATGTAGAGATATGGGTGCCATGTATGATGCTTACCTTAATCAACTGGTATCGAACAAGGCATAAAGTACTCTAACTCCTAGTGAGTGAAGTGTTGTACACAGCTACATCAGATGGTATTTCAGGGTGTCACATCCTTATATGACACCAGATGATTTCAGAGATCCACCTAAGCCAGCTTATCAGGAGATACTAGAGGAGGAGCAAATTAGGGAAAATCATATTGATGATGTGTTGCCTAGATGTCGCCGTATCACAAAGATTGGGCAGACAAGTATAGATAAATGACTCTAAGGTGAGGTCGTTCAAAATGCCATGATGGGAGAGACACTATAGTACATGAGGCAATTGAGGAATAGGGGAGCCCGAGTATGTCATACACAGTAGTATATAGTATTTATATTAGGAGCACTATTTTTGATTCTATTTTATTTTGACTTTATTGTGTACTATAAATTTATTAATTTATATATGTCATTTTCAAATTATTTTGAAAGTGTGTGGTTTAACTTATACAAAATTGAAAATGATAGTATAACAATAATACATCGTTGATTTCATCGGTGCATCTATAAAAAAAATAAAAAAATACTTTATATGAATACGAAAATACTTTTCAAGATTCTGTCTGATGTGAATACAGAAATACATCTTTAGAATACACATGGAGTTGTTTTAAAATACATCTTCGAAATAAATATTGAAAAAAATACAGTAAAACTAAAGTGAGCGTGATTTAGTGAGAATCAAGCTACTTTTGGAAAATAGATTTAGATTTAATGGGCGGTATTTTAGAATTTTCATAGGATAGTTTTTATTACTTTTAAGGTAGAATTAGCAATTAAAAAAAAAACCAATCCAAAAGACAAGAAATAAGATGGAAATAGAAATATGGAGGTCCAAAAAGTAAAAATAGCATTTATCCTGACAACACTAACCGGAGAGCCGCTGGTCCTAGTTGTTTCTAGAAAATTCGCCAACTTTCACACATTCCCCATTTCCCTCTCCGGTAGATACATTATTTAACACATTCTTCCAAATCATGACATACAAATCACTAACTGCTTCTCAATTATCAATTGAATCCCTAACCTTTCCACTTCGTAAACTAGCATTTTGCTTCCGATTCAAATGTCTCCCTACGACGGCGTGGTGATCGGAAAATTGAGACTGAAGGGAAAACCACTGGCCGTCAAAAAAGACGGGATCAAAAAGAAGAAGAAACACCGTTACTCGTCAGAGTTTAATTCAGGTGAACCTTACACTTTTCTTATCCGTTGAACTTTGCATTTTCTTCTTCATTTTGCTTGTCTGAATTAATGGTTCTTCAGAACGTAACATGAACGAGGGTGAGACTGAGAAGTATGAAGGAGAAGGAAACAGCGCAGGTTGTGATTGTGATGATCGGTTAACTCCGGCTGAGAGACGCTTTCTGCAACAGGCGGAGAAACTTGAGCTTCAAAGGGTGGAAAAGATGGCGAAGAGATCTCATAGGGATAGAATTGAGAGGTTCAATCAGTATCTAGCTAATCTTAGTGATCATTATGATATTCCAAAAGTGGGGCCTGGCTAATACAAGCACTTGGATTCATGCGTTTACTTATTTTTGATATATCACATACTCAATTTGTAATCTTGTTTACATATCCCATTTTGCACTTATATATTTGCCTAAATAATATCCTCTGGATAGATTCATTTTTGAGAATTACGAAGGTCAAAATCCCTGTAATATTCACATTTCGACGACCACATTTTAGTTTTTCTTTCAGAATACTCGTTTCTTTCACAAGGCTCTTAAAGAGAGACATAGAAGAAATTTTATTAGCACGGAGGAGTCTGAAAGGGGGATTGTCCAAGGAGTGGAGGAGGTGAAGCATGAAGTTAAGAAATTTTATTTGCTATTCCGATTTTCGCTTTATCCTTTATAAAATGCTGGCTAAGGTTCTAAAAGAAATCCGGAGAATCCACATAGAGGTATGCAACAGGGCTTTGTTATCTAAATAGAAATGGACACTACTAAAAATATGACATTTAAAAAAAAGACCTTTACATCAGATATAAAAATAAATGATGTAAAAAATATTTCTCAAAAGATTTTATATTAGATTTTTATTTTTCATGATATAAAAAATATGTGATTTAGAGAAAAATATAATGAGAAAAATATAATAAGATGGTATTTTGGTAAATAAAATGAAAATTTTTATAAGAGATTTTACATCGGGTCTTTACTATCCACCGGTGTAATAAGTCAAATAATAAAATTATACAAACACGGTGGCAGTTTTGTAAATAAGGTGCGTTTTTGTTTTTAAAAAAAAATTGGCTTTTACATCGGGCCATAAATCCAACCGATGTAAAAGAGAGTTTTTATTAAAAAAAAGTGGCCTTCACATTGGATCATAAACTCAACCGATGTAAAAGATTGGTCCTTACATCGGGCCATAAATCTAACCAATGTAAAAACTCATGTAAACTTCACAAAACCCTATTGTAACTATTCATATGTTTATTTCATAAAACCCAGCTAAACTTCACCTTTTTGCTCTGCTTCGACCCTCCGCCTTCGGTTTGAACCCGTATCCCTCTGTTCCCTCCGCCCTCCGCCTCCAGACGTTCATCACCGCCCTTCGTCTCCCCCCGTCCTCCGCCTCCGGACGTTCATCATCTTTCTCCGCCCTCCACCTCCGGACGCGAAACGTCTTCCTCCGCCCCTGCCCTCCGCCTCAAGACGTTCATCACCGCCCTCCGCCTCTGGACGTTCATCATCTCTCTCTGCCCTCCACCTCTGTACGCGAAACGTCTTCCTCCGCCCTCCGCCTCTGGATGCGAATCCGGGTTCGGTCAGCCGCGACATTCTTCTGTCTCCTCTCCGTTCTTCCGTGTCTCTTCGTCTCTCTTCACCTCCGACATCGTCCCTCCGTTTCCGACAGGTTAGATTTAACATTATTGTTATTGTTATCCAGATTTACATTACATTTTATCTAAAGTAATGGATTTAAATTAGAACAAATTAAAATGTGTTGTTAATCTTGCATGCTAACCACCAACAAAGTTTCAATCCCGCGACATTATATTATGTTACAATTTTTATGTTTAAAAGAATCTCTTATAGATTCTTGTAGTAGTGCTACTCTTTCGTCAGACTTCCTATAAATGTATATTTCTACTCAAATTAGAAACATTCAAGGACAGTTAAGTAGGACATATTCTAATTCTATATTATTTGTGACAGAGTTTTCTATATTATTTGTAACGGACGTTAAAAAACATTAATTATTAAAAAAGTATATTAGAAATAAAAATTTCTAATGATTTAACTATGCATTCATTAATTTTGGAGCATAGGTATAAATCATAGTTTGATGAGAGCTAATTGATTAAGTGCTGAGTACGAACATAAAGTGGAGGAATTTCTACGGTTTGCTGAAAGTAATGTTGAAAAAAGTCTTCATGCGCTTTTTCTCTGTCCATGTGTTCGTTGTACAAATAAAGAACCAAAACTTAGTAAGAAAGAAATCATGGATCATCTAATCTGTGTAGGGATCTGTCAAAGTTATACACAATGGATATGGCACAGTGAAGTAGTAGCAAATTCAAACGTGTCCCAAAGAGAGATGTTAGTGTCGATATGGATGATCATTTGGAAGACATGATGTGTGATATTGGACAAGATTCGTTTAAGAGAGCACATGCGTATGATACTTTATGCAGTGACAAGGATAAACCTTTATATCCGGGATGCATAAATTTTACACGTTTGTCAGTCGTGTTAAAATTGTTTAATCTGAAGGCGAATAACGGGTAGACTGACAAAAGTTTTACCAAATTGCTTGAATTATTGACATAAATGTTTCCAGAAGGTAACATAATGCCAATTCGTTATTACGAGGCGAAGAAAATATTATGTCTGATGGGTTTGGAGTATGAAAAGATACATGTATGCCCTAATGACTGCATATTATACATAAAAGAGTATGTAAATTATAATCATTGTTCGAAGTGCAAGGTGTCACGCTACAAAAAGAAAGATGGTGATTCTAGTGAAGATGAGGTGGTCAAAAAGGGTCCTCCCGGGAAAGTGGTATGGTACCTACCGGTAATTTCAAGGTTCAAGAGACTATTCGCTAATGTAAACAACGTAAAAAATCTTAGATGGCGTGCAGAAGAAAGAAATTGTGATGGACAAATTCGCCATGTAGTTGATTCTTTGCAATGGAAGAAAATAGATACTTTGTTTCCAAGCTTTGGAAAAGAGTCGAGAAACCTTATACTTGGACTTGCTACTGATGGAATGAATCCATTTGGTAATCTAAGTACTAATCATACTGCTTGGTCTGTTCTCTTGATGATTTATAATCTATCTTCTAGGTTGTGCATGAAGCGTAAATATATTATGCTATCGATGATGATTTCGGGCCCAAAACAACCAGGAAATGACATAGACATGTATCTAAGTCCACTGATTGATGATTTAAGAGTGTTGTGGGAGGAAGGGGTGGATGTTTTTGATGTTATTCTGGCGAACAGTTCAATATGTGTGCCATGTTATTTTACACCACCAATGATTTTCCGGCATATGGCAATTTGTCTGGGTATAAAGTTAAATGGCATAAAGCGTGTCCTATATGTGAACAAGACACGTGTTACCATCAGCTTGTAAAAGGAAACAAGATTGTTTATCTAGGGCATCAAAAATTTCTACATCGTTATCATCCATAGATTGCGGAAAGATTTCAATGGGGAACAAGAGCATGGTGTTGCTCCAAAGCCCTTAACTGGAGAGGAAGTTTATCAACTACAACATGGAATTAATGTTGTCTTTGGAAAGTACCAAAAGCTATCTACTGTGAAGAATACATGGAAAAAGAGGTCAATTTTCTTCGATCTTCCATATTGGTTTAGTCTTGATATAAGACACTGTATTGATGTAATGCACGTGGAGAAAAATGTATTTGATAGTCTAATCAGAACACTTCTCAACGTTTAAGGCAATACAAAAGATGGTATTAATGCTCGTCTGGATTTGGGTTTGATGGGCATACGAGAAGAGTTAACTCCACAATGTATAGGTAACAAGACATATTTGCCTCCTGCCTGCTACACTTTGTCCAAAAAAGAGAAAACAAGTTTTTGTGAGTGTTTACAAAGTATCAAAGTGCCGCATGGTTACTCATCAAATGTCAAAAGGCTTGTATCAGTTAAGGATTTCAAATTAGTTGGCTTAAAATCTCACGATTGTCATGTTTTAATGCAACAACTACTACTAGTGGCTATTTGTGGGATATTGCCTAACAATGTTAGGAAGACTATAACTAGGTTGTGTTTATTTTTCAATGCAATCTGTTGTAAAGCCATTGATCCATTAAAGTTAGATGATTTGGAAAATGAGGCTACAGTTATCTTGTGCCAATTAGAGATGTATTCCCCTCCTTCATTTTTTGACATTATGGTTCACTTGATTATTCATCTAGTTAGGGAGATTAGATTATGTGGTCCAATTTTTTTTACGGTGGATGTATCCAATAGAGCGATACATGAAGATCCTAAAAGGGTACACAAAAAATCCACACCGTCCCGAAGCATCAATTATTGAGAGGTACATTGTAGAAGCAACAATTGAGTTTTGTTATAACTATTTGTCAGGAGTGGATGCTGTAGGGGTTCCCAAGTCTCGTCATGATGGAAGATGTGAGGTTGTGGGTGCACAAGGTTTAAAGGTCAAGAGCCTAAGTATTGATGTGGTTGTTCAAGCGCATTTATATATATTGAATAACACAGATGAAGTTCAACCTTACTTATCTGCTCACAAAAGCATCATAAAGAAAAAGTATCCCAAGATGAATGAAAGAGGGTTGTTAAAAGAGCATAATAAGAGTTTCTGAGTGGTTTAAAGAAAAAATTGATAATGATGATAATGCTTATGATACAATTAAGTGGTTGTCCTATGAGCCTAAATGTAACATAATAACTTGGAGTGGATATGATATTAATAAAACTTCCTTTTATACAAAGTCAAAGGATGACCGTAGTATCACGCAAAATAGTGGAGTTATGATTGTGGCTGAGTCCATGCACTTCTCTAGTGCTAAAGATGAAAACCCCGTTATGGCATCTACACGTTACTTCGTGGTGATTGAAGAGATTTGGGAAGTTAATTATGTTGTGTTTAAAGTTCCTATATTTAAATGCAAATGGATTGATATCAACAGTGGTGTAAGAATCGATGAACTTGGAGTTACACTGGTTGATCTTAGCAAGTTAGCTTATACGAACAAACCTTTCATCATGGCATCTCAAGCAAAACAAGTGTTTTATGTCACAGATCCTTCTAATAAAAGGTGGTCAGTGGTTTTACAGGGAAAGGTGCATGATATTGATGAAAATCAAGATGCGCATCTTGATATTTCTGAAACTCCTCCTTTTTCAACAAATGTGCCTACCTTCATTGAAGAAAATGAAGAGGATGATATGCATGATGTTCGCATAGATCATGAAGAAGGGACATGGGAGTACTAGTACGATGTTTTTATAAGTTATTTCGACTTTACTTTGATTCCTAATTGTTTTTGTTTTGATCTTAATTTGATGTCTAAATGTTGTTATTTTTATGCTCACTTTGATGTATAAATGTTTTTATTTTGTGCTTAATTTGATTTCTAATTGTTTTTATTTTGTGTAAACAGATACATGGGTGATTCAACCGACAATCCTTCTTCATCTAGTAACCCTAAGAAAAGAAGAGTTAGAGGTCTCACTTTGATGGTAAAAAATGACAAAGTTCATCAAACGGGTGAAAAGATAAAGGATGAGTTTGATCCAAGAACCCATGAATATACTGGTGTTGGTAAAAATGCTATAAATTTTAAGAG